AAAAGTTTGTTTGTTTATTAGTTTTTGTTTATAAAAAGACAAAATTAAATTAAAATAAAATAAAATAAATAAAACAGAAAAAGAAAAAAATGCAGCTGCGTGGACACGCCGGTCTGGTGGCCTGTATACACCAGAACCATCAAACCCTAAACCCTAAACCCTAAACCCTAAACCCTAAACCCTAAACCCTCTATAAGATGCCAGGGACCTCTAAACTGCAGCCAAAACATAAAATATATTTTATTTTTTCTTTTTAATATAAATATATTCTTCTTTTCTACCCCTGAGGCCCCTGTGTTGCGGTGTACATACACCCCATGCTGTCGGCAGCGGTTCACGCCCAGCCAGGGCCCCTGGGGGGCCCCCCGGGGGCCCCCCAAAATACCTTATTCTTTTCCGTGTGTTACGCCTTTTATATTAAAATATTTATATTCTTTATATTCAAATTAAATTAACAAACACTGTAGAAAGGGGGCCCCCCTCTCCTCTGCAGCAGAACCACCGGGGGGCCCCCCCGACACCGCAGCAGCTCTCAGGTGTACATACACCCCAACTTGTTATACCCTGTTACTGCAGCAGGAGGCCACGGAAATTCTGCTGCTGCTGCTGCTGCTGTAGCAGCAGCAGCAGCAGCAGCAGCAGCAGCAGCAGAGGCGATAGCTCGCAGGCTTTGACTCGAGCTGCAGCAGCAAAAGCAACAGCAGCAACAGCAGCAGCAGCAGCAACAACAATAACAACAACAGCAACACAAGTACTAACTATGAACGCAGCTGAAACTGTTGCTGCTCACGAGGGGGGGCCCCCAGCTGCTGCTTGGTGGGGTGGGGGGCCCCCCTTCATTCCTCCCTGTCACCCTCTCGGGTACTATGGAGAGGGGCCCCCTGAAGGGGCCCCTGGGGGCCCCCCTGGGGGGCCCCCGGGGGGGGCCCCCATGGGGCCCCCCAGGAGTTTTGTTAGGCAGCTAGACATTCCTGCTGTTGGGTTTGAACGGCCTGTCTTTATTACTCGCGGTGCTGCTGCTGCTGCTGCTGCTGCTGCTGCTGCAGCTGCTGCTTCATCTGCCGATGCATCTGCTGCTGGCTCTACTGTTGCTGCTGCTGTTGCTCCAGCTGCTGCTGCTTTTGCTGTCCATGACGCAGCAGCACCAGCAGCAGCAGCAGCAGCAGCAAAAGAAGAAGACTTTGCTGCACGTGTTTGTGTGGGGGCCCTGGTGACGCTGGTACCCCCGGGGCCCCCCACCCCTCCTAGGGGGCCCCCGGGCTCCCCAGGGGCCCCCCAGGTCCTCTGCAGCGGCAGCAGCAGCTGCTGCTGCTGCAGCTACCCTGAAGCAGGAAGGACGGTTTGTCTTTCTTACAATGCTTGGTTTGTGGGGGGCCCCCTGGGGGGCCCCCCACCGGGTCAGCAGACCCCATGGGGGCCCCTGGGGGCCCCCCAGCTGCAGCAAACCCCAGGGGGCCCCCGGGGGGCCCCCCAGGAGCAGCAGACATCTGGGGGCCCCCAGGGGGGCCCCCTGCTGCAGCAAGGACTGCCGAAGGAGGGGCCCTGGAGCAGCAAAGAGCTGCAGCAGCAGCACTTTCAAAAAACTCGTGAGGCCCCTACCTGCTGCTGCTGCTGCTGCTGCTGCTGCTGCTGCTGCTGCTGTTGTTGCTGTTGTTGGTGCTGCTGTCTACGGGGTGTGGGTTTGGTTCGTGCTGCTGCTGCATCTGCTGCTGCATCTGCTGCTGCATCTGCTGCTGCTGCTGCTGCTGCATCTGCTGCTGTCTGTGCTGCTGTCTGTGCTGCTGCTGCTGCTGCTGCTGCTGCTCAGCTGCTGCTGCTGCATCTCTTCTGGTTGCTGCTGTTGGTGATGTCTCGCTGGGGCCTGGGCTCAGTGCGGCTCTGCAGTGCATGCTCCCAGGTACACCCCAAACCCTAAACCCTAAACCCCAAACCCTAAACCCTAAACCCCAAACCCTAAACCCTAAACCCCAAACCCTAAACCCCAAACCCTAAACCCCAAACCCTAAACCCTAAACCCTAGGGTGTAAACCCTCAGTTTCTATTGTTCTGCAGCAAGCCCATAAACCCAAGGGGTATGCGCGTTCTTTCACGATCTAGGGTTTAGGGTTTAGGGTTTAGGGTTTGTAGGGTTGTTGTTGCAGGAGAAGAGTGTTTGTTGCTGCTGGAGGCTGCAGCAGCACCACCGAGGCTGTTGCAGAAACGCAGCTACACCCCCGCAGCAGCAGCAGCAGCAGCAGCGCCAGCAGCAGCACCAGCAGCAGCGCCAGCAGCAGCAGCAGCAGCAGCAGCGCCAGCAGCAGCTGCAGCAGCAGCGCCAGCAACAGCAGCAGCAGCAGCGCCAGCAGCAGCAGCGCCAGCAGCAGCGCCAGAAGCAGCAGCACCAGCAGCAGCACCAGCACCAGCAGCAGCAGCGCCAGCAGCAGCAGCAGCAGCAGCAGCAGCAGCAGGAGCCATGGTGTTGCTGCGTGTTTGTCTGCACTACCAATCGAGGATGAGGCCCCTGGTGTCTCCGTTGTCTCTCTACAGAAACATATACCGCAGCTGTCTCTTTCCTGCAGCAGCAAGAAGACACCGCCGTGCTGCTGCTGCTGTTGCTGCTGCTGCTGCTGCTGCTGCTGGTGCTGCTGCACCAAGAGCAGCAGCAGATGCTGCTGCTGCTGATGCTGAGGAACCCCGTTGCTGCTGCTGCAGCAGCGAAGAAGCATACAGCGGAGCTGACGATCCCGACTCAGACGCATGCAGCAGCGACAGCAGCAGCAGCAGCAGCAGCAGCAGCAACAGCA